CTGGCGGGGGTTGAAGACGGGCTTTTTTTTTTTAAACCCCTCTTTCCGATTGCCAGCGCTATTTTTACTACCGGAAAGCTGTCCACCCTCTCTACTGCCCCTGTCTGCGCGGTGATTCGGTCTGGGTGTCTGGCCTTGAGGTTAATCAAGGCGGTGGTTTTGCAAGGAAGGCCTTGAGCAGAGGGGACTCGGTCAAGCTACCTCTACCCTGCCCTGCCCTCCTCATCCTTCTGAAACCCCATCCCACTTAAGAACAACAAAGCCAAAACCCAGGCGCTCAGGCAGTAGCTGAGTCGGTGGGGTATCCGCCTGGCCTTCCATGAAGGTCTGGATGCCCCCTCCCCCCAGCCCGGGCTGCCAATAAACTAGGTGTGATGGTGCATACCTGTAATACCAAGCCTGAAGATGAAGAGATCAAGGTCATTCTTAGCAATATAGTTCGTTCGAGGCCAGCTTCAGCTACATAAGAGACTATTTCAAAAACAATAAACAGCATTTTTCCAGGCTGAGGAGCTAGTTAGGGCAGCTAAGGCCAGACAGGCCCCATTGTAGTGAAGTGTGGAGGATGGAGGACCTACCCAGTGCCTGGGGATCTACCACCTCTCTCAGTCCTTGCCTAAAAGGCTTTATCTGTATCTCTACCCAGAGGCCTCAGGGTGCTTGTAAAAATAAAGGGCACCCTTTACCTGTCCCTAGTCCTAGTAGGGCGTTGCAGCTGGTCCCCAGTCTCCAGGCACCAAAATTGGGCCCCTGCTCCATCCTCTTTTATATTGACGAGAGACTGGGGCTCCAGGGACTAGAGTGTTGGGTCAGGATAGAGCATGTCCTCCCAGGGCTGACTCACTCGCTTCTTCTAGCACCTGGGGGCTGCATGCGGACAGTAGTGGCATAACCACAGACACCAGAGGTCAAGGGCCACAAGGACATGTGAATTCCTGTCTAGTACAGAGAGAACTTCCAGGAAAAGAGAGGGTTGGAGGCTGGGGAGATGGCTCAGCGGTTAAGAGCACTTGCTTTGAAAGCATGAGAACCTGAGTGCCAGCCCCCAGCAGCTAGACATCGCCAATGCCCTGGGACTCCGCTGCAATGAGTTGTGCAGATGTGAGGATTAACGGGGTCTCCCTGGCTGCGAGCCTAGGTCCAGGTTCAGTGTGAGAACCCTGTCTCAATGAAATAAGGTGAAGAGTGATAAAGTAGGATATGGACATCCTTTGTCTTGCACATGTGTGTGCGTACGCGCGCGCGCGCGCGCACACACACACACACACATGAGAGAGAGAGAGAGAGAGAGAGAGAGAGAGAGAGAGATATTGAGGGGTGGACAGTAAGATGACTCAGTGGGTAAAGGTGCTTGCCGCCAAGCTTGACAACAAAAGTTCAATCCCCAGGACCCACATAGTGGAAGGAGAGGACCATGTCCCATAAACTATCCTCCTACTTCCACACATGTCCTGTGGCATGTGTATGTGCACACACACACACACACACACACACACACACACACAAATGTGAAATTAAGAGGGAAGGCTCTATACACCTGAAGACTAAGAAGGAAGGCAATCCAGACAGAGACAGGAGGAAAAAGGGATGAAGGCTATGGCTTCAGGTCGTAAACCTAAGCTGGCCCAGACTGTCAGGACAGGATGGCACAGTCCACCCTGCTTCTAGTACGTCTGGGGTCTGCTCTCTAACACTACTTTCCCACTATCTGAACCCACAATCATCTGCACAGTAAATGATTGTCACTCACTGGCGGGTCTCTGTAGTGATTGGAAACACCTCCAGGCTCTATCCAGAGGTGACAGAGCCAAGCCAAGCCCTGACTATGAAGCCCACTTCCTGGGCTGTCTGTCCTTCCAGGGAGAGGTAAGCCTTTCCTCAAGTGATTCAGAATTCAGGAAGGTCAGCCAAGGTCAAGGACTTCATTTCCTCCCCAGATCTGGCCCCAGGGGCTGTTGGGAACAGCACTTCCTTGGCTGGGCCTTTTGGTCTGTGGTGTATAGCTTCCCTTCTGTCTTTCCTGCCTTCGAGTCCTGGGCTCCCTATCTGTAAGGAGGTGTAGGGTGCTTGTTGACCTCTCTTGATTACTTTTGTTTCTGTGTTTCCATTTTGAGATAAAAATCTTGCTAAATATCCCAAACTGGCCTGGAATTGTCTAACCTCGGATCCTCCTGTCCCAGCTTCCCAATGCTAGGATCATAGGTGCATGCCACCACACCCTCTGCCCCAGTTTTGTATAGCCTGGGGCACAGGCAGTGGTACTGATTCCTGGGCCCATACACTGCGGGTGTGCCAGGCGGGATGGGGAAGGGAGGTCAGGAAAGGGATAACCAGCTTCCTGCTTAGAACACAGCATACCTGCCCAAAGCTTGGCAGAGTCCAGCTTCCACCTGGCTTAGGTGGGACCCTAATGGTCCACCTGTTCCCTGAGACTCTACTCCTCCCTTCAACCCTGAAGACCGCCTGGTGGCGGCAGTGCGCCTTTAATCCCAGCATTTGGGAGGCAGAGGCAGGCCGATCTCTGTGAATTCAAGGCCAGCATGGTCTACAGAGTGAGTTCCTGGACAGCCAGGGCTACACAGAGAGAGACCCTATCTTCAGGGGGGGAAGGCCTGAAAGACCAATCCTGGGGGTCACCTCCTGGCAGCCTCCACACAGGCCCACACCTAGTCTTCCATCTATGTTCACCCATGCCATCGTGTACAGAGCAGGAAATAGCTTGCTGGGTAAGTGCATGGACCTGGGGAAGGTCTCATGGGGTTAGCAGCAGCTCCATCCTTCTTGGCTGCTGTGGTGGTGGTGACCTAGTGGGTACAGCTGGTCCCTGCCCCCAAGGAATGCCAGCTGGGGAGATAGACTTAAAAGCATGCACAGAACTCAGTGCAAGCGATAGCTTGCTAGTACACTCAAGAGGGGACCGTGGGCACTCAGATGAAACACTTGTGCCAGCCTGGACAGAGGAGGTCAAGGAAGGCTTCCTGGAAGAAGACGACTTATTATGGAAGGGTGAATAGGGATTGCCAAGCAAGATAAGTAAGGGGCTGGCCTGAGTTATGCCCATGAGGACCCCAGCACCCATCTCTCTCCACCTCTATGGACTTTGCACACCACCCTCTGATTTCCTGATGGCAGCCATTCCTCGTTCTGAGGTGCTATCTATAGGTGTGAAGCCTGACCCAGGCACTCTCCCCTGGGTAGACCCCGTACTTGATGACTGCTGCTGTACCTAAGGCTGCCCTAAGGAGGAAAGGGATTCCCTTGTGCTCTCTGGCCCCGAGGTCCCAAGGATGCTGTTGAAAAGTCGAACAGCTATTTTTACCTAGTGTTTAATTATAGGGCTTAGACAACAATAGAGATCTGAGATGGGGTTCCCAAGGGCTGGGTGGGGAGGGGCAGGCCCAGAGCCATGGGGATCCTGGGAGGACAGGTAAGAGTGTGAGCCTCTACATCAGTGCCTCAGAAGGATGGGTGCTGCCCCTCAACAATCCACACTAAACTGACCTCTCCAACGGGGGTTGCCAGGGGAAGCCTGAGTTTCCCTACTTAATCTCCTTGGGTTTTGGCTTGGTTTTGTTTTGTTTTCCCACTAACTTAAGGTCAAAGTTACCAAAGGAAAATGGATGGAATGGCTGGGTGTGTGGCTCAGTGGCAGAGGACCTGCCTAGAATCCCCCAGTGAGGGGCTGGGAGTGTGGCTCAGTGGTAGAGCCATTGAATAATATGCAGGAAGGAGGAACTGGGTACAATCTAAGAAAGAAAATGGACGAGGGAGGCAGAACATGGCTGGGTTTGTGTTCCCAGGAAGGTTTACCACAACAGGGGACAGGAAGCAAGTCCCCTAGATGACTACCTGACATGCACTCTGCAGTTTACCCATCCTAAGTGGTAAAAGATGTAGTTGCCTAGCAACAAAGTGGAAGAAGCTGGAATGAAGAGACAGCTGGGATTTCTAGATTGGTCCAGTGGGGATGGGAGCTCCGAAAGGCACAACAGGCAGACTACCATGGGGGGGGCGCTCCTAAGGAGGTTGGCCCTTTAATGCCAATAATAAAAAGGGTCACCTTTGGGCCATATAGGAAGATGACCCCCAAAGTCCTAGGACCAGAAAGCTGAGCAAAGACCCGGAAACTGAGTGTCAGCTGCTGTCATTATAACAGATAGATACCCAGGAGCATTGTAGGGAGGGAAGGCTTACTCTGTCCCACAGCTTCAGAGGTTGAAGGCTCCTTAGTGCCTCAACTCAGGCAGAACATGGTGGGAGGAAGGGATGGAACAGCTCAGGTCATGACGACTAAAATGAAGGGAGATAGAGTAGATAAGGCAGAGCCCACGGGGGCTGCAGAGATGGCTCAGAGGTTAAGAACACTTGTTGCAGCCAGGCGTTGGTGGTGCACGCCTTTAACCCCAGCACTCAGGAGGCAGAGGCAGGCGGATCTATGTGAGTTCGAGACCAGCCTGGTCTACAAGAGCTAGTTCCAGGACAGGCTCCAAAAGCCACAGAGAAACCCTGTCTCAAAAAAACAAACAAACAAAAAAAATGAAAACACTTGTTGTCTAAGGACTCGGGGACTTGGAAAGGTTATTGAAGATCCTCAGGTCACCCAAAACTCACAGGACACCATTTGAAAGTGTCTGTTCCCTCAGCCTCCTTGACCAGCTCCAGAATAAATGACCCTGGGGATCCCCAAGAATGCTATGAGACACCCCCTACCCCTAGAACCCTTCTCCTACTTCACCATCGATCATGTGCACCTCTAGCTTCAGTGGGTGGGAGCAACTCAAATAGAGTTGTTGCTATGATGCTGTAGATGCCCAGGGAGGGCTGTGGTTGGGCCAAGGGGATCAGAAACTCAAGGTCATCCTCTGCTACACAGGGAGTCTGAGGATAGCCTGTGCTACATGAGATGGAAGAAGAGAGGGAGGGAGGGAGGGAGGGAGGGAGGGAGGGAGGGAGGGAGGAAGGAAGGAACAAAAAAGAAATACCTACTTTATCCCCCTCAGCCTGAGGCTGCCATGGGACCAAAGCCATGAATGGTGCCACCCCAGGCTCGGCCGCCGCCCCCGCCCCAGTCCCTGACTGGCGGCAGTTCTGCGAGCTGCATGCACAGGTGGCTGCTGTGGACTTCGCTCACAAGTTCTGCCGCTTCCTTCGTGACAACCCGACCTACGACACGCCTGACGCAGGGACCTCATTCTCCCGCCACTTTGCAGCCAATTTCTTGGCAGTCTTCAGTGAGGAGGTGCGCTGTGTGCTGGGGACAGCAGCGGACACCATGGAGCCCGAGCCTGTCGCAACCTCGGTGACATCAGCACTCAAGTCTGCAGCCTATGGCCACTCCCGAAGCTCCGAGGACGTGTCTGCCCACGCGGCCACCAAGGCCCGTGTCCGCAAGGGCTTCTCACTACGTAACATGAGCCTGTGCGTGGTGGATGGAGTACGTGACCTGTGGCACCGGCGCTCGTCCCCAGAGCCTGATGCTGGAGCCACCCCCAAGACCGCCGAGCCTGCATCCGAGCCTCGAGACAAGTGGACGCGGCGCCTGAGGCTGGCACGGACCCTGGCGGCCAAGGTGGAGTTAGTGGACATCCAGCGCGAGGGCGCACTGCGCTTCATGGTGGCAGATGATGCGGCTTCGGGCCCTGGGGGCACTGCACAGTGGCAGAAGTGTCGCCTGCTTCTGAGAAGGGCTGTGGCCGGGGAGCGCTTCCGCCTGGAGTTCTTCGTGCCGCCCAAGGTTCGTATTTTGGTGCATGTTGCCATCACTCATGGGGACCCAGTCACCTACACAGCCTAAGGGAACTGCAGACCGGTAACAGGTGGGTGGGTGCCTGGGACTCGTTTGGGGATTGTGTGACCTGGTCTGATAGACACGGGTTTTGTACAAGGGGCACATCCCAGGGACAAAATGTAGCATATAAAAGCAGGGAGTAAGAAGGTACATTCAGACCTGTTTCTGAGAGGCCTGAGTCCTGGTCCATGGCAATCATATATCTGCTGCCCCTGCCAGGCTCCAGCTGAGCCCTACCGGGTGGCGACTTCCTTCCCATCAGGAGGAAGAGAGGGTCTTTGCCTGCCACTGTCGTTTTCATACCACTTTGAGTCCACTGGCCCCATTGGCCACCAAAGCCCTTCCGTGGTAGGGGACAGCGAAGTTTGGGGTCTGCTTGGGGGAACAAATGTAACTTGCTTGGAAAGTAGAGGTGCGGGGGTGTAGCTCAGCAGGTGGAGTGCTTGCCTAGCACTCATGAGGCCCAGAGTTCCAGCCCCAGCACCGCACCCCATAATCCCTGAGTGGTAGTGCACTTGGAAACAGAAGGATCAGAAGCTCAGGGTTATCCTTGGCTACATAGCAAGTTGGGAGCTAGCCTGGGCTGCATGCGACTACCTGGAAAGAAGGGAACAAAGTTGATACTTAGAGGAGGGGTATGGGCTGCCTGCAGCCATGCGTGAGTGGCAGAAGTGGGCTGGCTATGCATTACCACTCAGATGGTCACCAGCATGAAGGGAAGAGATGGAGTTCCCTGAATATTGTCATGGCAACTGGTAACACCCCAAGACCTGACCGTCCTGGGGCTCACTCTCCCCAGTACCTCTCCTGGACACTCTGAGTCAATGTACTGGAGGCTCGCCACCGCCCCCCCCCCAACCTCCCCTCAAGGTGCTGGAGGAAGAGCTGCCCAAAGCAAGATGCTGTGGGTACTCCCAGAACACACTGGTGAGGAGTATCACCCCAACTCCCAGTTCCCCCAGATTTCCCAAGGGAGTTTTACCCATACCCTACCTTCAGCCCCTGAGAAAACTGCCACTAAACTCGAATCTACAGACAGAGAGACCAAAGCCTGGTGATGGGGTGGCTTGCCCAGGGTCACCCAAAGGGCAGGGGCAGAGGCCCAAGGTTTCACTGTCCTGCTGTGAGTGGCAGCTCCAGCTGCTGGTCTCTAAATAGCTGTCCCCGTTGCCCTGGGGGAGAGGACACGGCAGCTGCTGCCCTCCCAACTTTCCACTGATCCCTGCAGAGCCCTCTGCTTTTACTGCTGGCAGGAGGGAGGGTTCCTGAGGGATCACTGAGCCCTGCCTTCCTCAACTCATTGAGGACAACAGGTTCCTTGCCCCTGATCTTGCTTCAGGCTCTCAGAATATCAGAGCATAGTAAATACCTGGGAGTGATCCATGAATGTGAGGATCATTCTAGAGTGTATTAGTCCATCATCTGTCTATAACAAAATACCAGAGGCTAGATAGTATATGATAGGGAGGGAGGGAGGGAGGGAAAGAGGGAGAGAGGAAGAGGACATGGTAACTGCCTATAATCCAAGCATTGGGGAGGTAGAGGCAGGAGGATCAGGCAATGTCATCCTTGGCTACATAGCAAGTTCAAGGCCTGTCTGAGCTCCGTGATACCACATCTCAAAAAGGGAAGAGAGAGGAGAGACAAATCGTTTAGCTGGGTTTTAGAAACTGCATGTCCAAGGTCAGGAAGCCCCATCCTTCACAGCCTCTCACAGTAGGGCAGACAGGAGAAGAAGGAAATAGCTATGTGTAGAAAAGGTCAAGTGTAGAGTGACCTCACCTTATAACAACCCATGCTGGTTAGATAACTAGCCAGATTCTTTGAGAACGTCATTAATCTCCTCCCAACTTAGCAGCTCCAATGACCAGGTAAAGCAGGTAATAGCTCAGTGGTAGAGCACCTTCTTAGAATCCCCCAATGAGAGACTGAAGGTGTGGTAGAGCACCTGCCTAGAATCCCCCAGTGAGGGGCATTGATATAACTCAGTATTAGAGTCCTTGACTAGTAAGCATGAGATCCTAGATTCTACCCCAGCACTGGAGGCAAGGGGCAACTACAACTACATCGAGACAGATGGCCTCAGATGTCGAGCCGAGAGAAGGGACACAGGAACACAGTACCTCCAGCCAGTGGGAGCCCAACTGAAGGCACCATTATAAACCTTCCTGTGCTCTCTGCCTCGGGTGGCAACCCCAGCCATCGGCTGGTGTGAAGATGTGATAAGCTAAGCCTATCAGTCACTGTTGTAAGCTCAGCCCAGGCCTGCTGGACAGTGTCCAGAGTGGCCAAGAATTCCCATCCACCAGATATGAGGCCTTTCCTTTTCCTCTTCAGAAAGTCCCTGTCCCAGAGCCCAAGCCCTGCCGGTAATGTCAGCCTCAGGACAGTCCAGAGAGATCCAAGGCACTGCCAGGAGCTGTGGAGCAGAGCATAAAGGAAGGGGCCTGCACAGCGCGACCCTCCTAAGGGGCCCTGCTAACTGCCCTGGTTTAACCCTGTGATGGCAGCATTGGGGTGCTAGTTCCCTTCTCCCCTTGCCTGGAGACAGGACACACCCAGCTCCAGGGCCCCATTCTGAGGTGAGATCTGTGCTCCAGAACTCTCATCCAAATCAGGAAGCCACCTCATTCTGGGAACCATGCTCACCCCACCCCAGCCCCTCACTGGGGGATTCTAGGCAGGTGCTCTACCACTGAGTCACACCCCAGCCCCTCACGGGGGATTCTAGGCAGGTGCTCTACCACTGAGTCACACCCCAGCCCCTCAATGGAGGATTGTACAATCCCAGAACTCAGGAAACTCAGGAAGGATTGCTCAAGGATTGCTCAAGCTCAAGCCAACCTGGGCTCCATAGTGGGTTAGCTGGTGCTATAGATTGAGATCCTATTTCCAAAAGCCAAGGGCTTGGGGTGTGGCTCAGTGGCAAAGCACCTGCCTAGAATCCCCCGGTGAGGGGCTCTGTAGTAGAAAGCTTGCCCTGGGCAAAATTCCCAGTACCACAATGAAAAAGAAAGAGGAAGGAAAGAAAGGGACTGAAGGAGGGTGAGAAGCGAGGGGAACGGCATATGAAGTAGGTGCACGAGTGGAGGGTGAGCCAGGGCGCACCCACAGCTCACAGGGCTGGGGTTCTGGGACTGGGGACTCAGCAGTACCAACCAGTCTCTAGCTTGCTGTGACCATGGAGTAGAATTCTTGCTGCCCTCTCAATGTCCCCATCTCTAAAGTGGGTAGGAGGTGCGGAGCGCGTCTCCTAAGGCCTCCAAGGGGTTCCTCCCACTGTTCCTTCCTCTGACCTCCCAGGCTTCCAGACCCAAGGTCAGCATCCCCCTATCGGCCATCATTGAGGTGCGAACCACCATGCCTCTGGAAATGCCTGAGAAGGACAACACGTTTGTGCTCAAGGTAAGATCTCACTGCAGCCCCCAGGTCTGCGGCTGCCTGGGACCACAGCCCTCGTGGGTTACACAGCTTGAACTCATTACAGGGGTGCAAGTTAGACCATCAAAGGGAGCGATATGGAGGGGATCCCCGTGATAGGATCCCACAACAGGTGTCCATCACCTAGGTAGAGCTTGAATCTGGTTTGCATTCTAGAGTCATGCATCCTGACATGGTTGACCACCAGGGTTTCCTTCCTTTTCTTGCTTTTTAAATACATTTATTACTATTATTATTATTATTATTAGTTTTTCGAGACAGGGTTTCTCTGTGTAGCCCTGGCTGTCCTGAAACTAGCCCTGTAGACTAGGCTGGTCTTGAACTTCCTCCTCCTTGAACTCCTTGAACTGCCTTCTGAGTGCTGGGGTTAAAGGAGCACACCACCACCGTTACCCGGCTACATTTGCCTGGTGTGTGCCTGCATGTGCATGCCGTGACATGGTCATGAAGGTCAGAGGATAACTTTTAGGAGTCAACTGAGAGAGCTCTCTCCTGCTACCAATGGGTTCCTCCCCTGGGCATCAAACCCAGCTTGTGAAGCATCTCTATCCACTGAACCATCTCACCAGCCCAGCCCTGTTCCCCATTTCTTCCTGGGTCCAGGAAAGGTCATTAAAGTTCCCTTCCCCTCCTCTCCCATTGGAGCAGGACACACCCACCTCACAGCTACTGGTGACCAGCTTGTTGAAGTTATGCAAATGTACACAGGCACAGGGAACTGGAGTGTGGAAACCAGCCCTGGTCCCTACAAAGGCACAAAGACATGGAGGGTGGGTGAGAGGCACCCCAGTGGGTCTGGAAACCGCCTGTCCTTCTCCAGGCCCACAGCACTGGGATGGCCTGCGAGGGCTGCTGAGGACATGGGTCCAGGCTGCTAGGCTGTGGTCAGGGCTTCCTGGAAGGAACTAGACTATGAAGCGGAGTCCCTCCAGGAGGCCGGTTCCTCCTGCTTGAAGCTTTGCATAGCCCCCACCCTCTTTGGCAAGCTCTTATTGAGCGTGTGTTTATACAAACCACAGATTCTTTTATTCATTGGGTAAATGTGTGCCAACTCTATGTCCTGAGTTGTTCCCTCAAGACTGGTAGCTGGGGACACAGCCGCTGTCCATCTGGTATTCTCAAATGCTGGGTGGCCCTCAGGCACCCCTGAGGCAGAAGGACTCCCCTGTCAGCCCCACTGTGAGCCCGATTCCCCATTGGAAAAGGAAGTATGGCAAGGCCCTCTTAGCCCAATGCTACGCTGTGACAGAATGCACAGGACAGGGAACCAAGAACAGGTGGCCCTGTGTCCGAGTCTCAGCTGCCGCTGGCTGCTGGCTGCTGGCTGCTGGCGGACTTTTGAGCAAGTTGCTCCCTCTCTGAACTCAGGCTTCTTGTCTATAAAATAAGCGTTTTTCATAGCCTCCTTCCCAGGGTTCTCAGGAACTCAGTGGACAAGGCACAGAGAGCGCCGGCCACCACATGGCCACAGCAGTAGAACTGCAGCTGCCAGGCCTGGGGCCCTGCACTCTGCCGGGCCAGCTGGCTTCCCCACTCCTCTTGAACCCCATCTGGAATGCCAGGGTGTGGGTTGAGCATGCTGGGTCTTCTGTACCACACCCAGGGCCTCCAGAGCCTGGCATCTCCTCCCGTGTGGACTTCAGGCTGCAGCCCTGCCCCCAACTTGGGTGGTCCCCCGATGTCCTCCCTTCTGTTCATACCCATGGGACCAAACACGGGCGAGTGAAGTCATATGAACCCTTCCACTCATTGGTCCTGGGGTGCTCCACCCTCTACCCTGCAGTGGAGGAGGCTTTACCAGGGCCACTCTCATCCAGGTGGAGAACGGAGCAGAGTACATTCTGGAGACGATAGACTCACTGCAAAAGCATTCGTGGGTGGCTGACATCCAGGGCTGTGTGGATCCTGGGTGAGTATTCTGGCCCCAAGGGTGGGGGGTGAACAGGTAGAAGTGTGTCTTATCCCCTTTCCCAGTAACCCAGCTACCAGACAGCAAATACTAACCTAGAGCCAGCATCAGTTATTCCCAAGATGGGCAGGAGGATCAGGAGCCTAGGGGTCATCCTCTGCTACACAGCTAGCTTAAGGCTAGCCTGGGCTACATGAGCCCCTATCACCAAAAAAAAAAAAAAAAGCAAACAAAAACCCCAAATAACAGCAAAATGGCTAGGCCAGAGCCAGACAGATGGAGGATATCAAGGCCTCTATGGTATCTAACCCAGGCTTTGTGCATGCTATGCACATGTACCACACATGTGCTCTACCATGCCTCTCATGACAAATAGAATTTGGGGGCTGGAGAGATGGCCCAATAGTACTGCTCTTCCAGGGGATGAATTCGGTCCCCAGCCCCCATGTCAGGCAGTTCATAATTGCCTGTAACTCCAGTTCCAGGGGATCAGAGACCTCTGGGCTCTTCCAACACCTACACCCACACACAAATATCCACCCATGCACAGACACCCGTACATGACATTTTTATAGAAAAGAGTTGGATTTTGATGAGGAAGCTGGTAGACTGAGGTCACTATGGAGTCGAAGTTAATGAAAGTTAATGACGTGGTTGGCACATCTGGTCAGTTATGTACAGAAAGAGGATGACTCCACTGTCCAGAAGAGACTCCTGCTGGGGCGGGGTGGGGTTGTCACCCAGCTGAGTACTTGGCAGCCGTTTCTCTGGCTAATAGGATGAGGTGGTGCCAGGGGAGGGGCTGCTTTCTAATTAACAGATTCATTTAAATAAGGCTCAATTAGAGTCCTGAGTGCCTCACAGATCTCATCCCCAAGGTGCATGCCCATCTAATGGCCATCTGCTCCAAAGACACTGCCTGGGGTCAGACCGTTTTTAGAGCTGGGATGGCCTCAAGGGGCTGCCCAGGCTCCACCGATCACCACACTGTTCCCCACTGGAGAGTGTCCATGGGATCCCAGGAATGAGCCCCAACCTCAGGGAGCACTATGTTCACGGTGGCCTCCATGGTGGGACACTCACACAGTGGCCACAGAGGGTGAGGGAGTGGAAAGGACTCGAAGCTCTGTAAACAGTCCTGGGTCCCCACCCAGGCCCCATGGCGAGATGTGTGTGTCTTCTCCACTCCACAGGGACACTGAGGAAGACACGGGGCTGTCCTGTGCTCGGGGAGGCTGTTTGGCCAGCCGTGTGACTTCCTGCAGCTGTGAGTTCCTAACAGAAGGTAGGTGGGGGGAGCCGGCTGGAATGGGGGGACAGTGTTGGAGGGCAGATAAGAGATGAGCTTTTCCCCCGTGTTTCCTCTGCAGCAGACACGCCCCGGCCCCCAGAGACAACAAACGCAGTGGGTGCCGTGGTGACAGCCCCACACAGCAGAGCTCGTGACACCGTGGGAGAGTCCCTGGCCCATGTCCCCCTGGAGACTTTCCTTCAAACACTGGAGTCTTCGGGGGGTGCTGTCAGTGACAGCAATAACACAGGTACCACTGGGGTCCCCACGCCTTCTACAGGGACCCATGTGGACCCTCAGAAGTGGGGACACTTCAGCCAATTGTGTCTACAGCGGTTCTGTATGGACACCTGGCCTTTCCCACTGTGCCTGGGTTTTATAGTCTCACACTATAGGGACAGGGTGGTGGCACAAGCCTGTAACCCAGCACTTGGGTTATAGAGGCTGGAGCAAAATAAATGTCTGGAGAGGTGGTTCACTGGTTAACAGCGATCGCTGCTCTTCCAGAGAGCCATGTAGTGGAATATTACTTTAACTATGTAAAGGTGTGTTACATTGGTTTATGCTGCATTTGTTTAACTATGTAAAGATGCTTTGCTGTTCTGATTGGTCTAATAAAAAGCTGAAAGGCCAATAGCTGGGCAGGAGAGAGATTCGCAGAGAGAATAAGTAGAAGAGAAAAAGGGAGAAAGCGAAGGAGACAGCAGGCAGCTGCCAGACAGACAGACACAGAGTAAGACATAGAGAATGAAAGAAAGGTAAAAGGCCTGTGGCAAAGCGTAAATGAAGAGAAATAGATTAATATAAATTATAAGAGCTGGCCGGGCAGTGGTGGCATGCACCTTTAATCCCAGCACTCAGGAGGCAGAGGAGGTAGATCTCTGTGAGTTTGAGGCCAGCCTGGTCTACAGAGCAAGTTTCAGGACAGCCAAAGCTGCACAGAGAAACCCTGTCTCAAAAAAAAAAAAAAAAAAAAAAAAAAAAAAAAAAAATAGCAAGAAACAAAACTAAGCTAAAGCCAAGCATTCGAAACTAATAATAAGTCTCCATGTGACTATTTGGGAGCTGGTTGGTGGCCCAAGGCAAAGCCTGCTACATACCAGAGTTTGGCTCTCAGCACCCATGTAGGGCAGCTGGCACCTGCCTGTGACTACAGCTCCGGGGGATCTGATGGCCTCTTCTGGCCTCTCCCAGCACCCACAGGCACACGTGCACACACAGACACCTACATACATACATACATAAACAGAAGGACATAATAAAGCCAGGTGGGCCGGAGGCTGGCACATCAGTGAGTGCTCCCGCCTCCCTGTGCCTCAGTTTACCTCAAGGCTGACTAGACATGCTCAGTCGGCTCTCTGCCTAGGTCTGATATTCAAATGGCAGTTTACCCAAACAAACACGATAGGGCTCCCCCCTCTCTCGTTGGCTTATTTTCTCCCTTTTGTCCTGCGTGCTATTACAACCAACCCAGGGGATGAAGGAGCTGAGCTAGACACTGATGCCGAGGCTGAACTAGAACTATCCGACTACCCCTGGTTCCATGGGACATTGTCCCGAGTGAAGGCTGCTCAGCTGGTGCTGGCCGGTGGGCCCCGGAGCCACGGCCTCTTTGTGATCCGCCAAAGTGAGACTCGACCTGGGGAGTGTGTGCTGACCTTCAACTTCCAGGGCAAGGCCAAGGCAAGTGTATGTGCGCTGTGGGTGACGGGAGCAGCCTGTGCTGGGGGAGATGGACTGAGGTGGCCCAGGTCCTAAGACTCATCACCGGCTGATGACCAAGCCCACTCCAAAAGCCAGTCTCTCTGAGAAGTTAGCTTTGCAACCAGATGTACATGCCAGCACTTCAGAAGCTAAGGCAGGAGGATTGTGGGGAGTGAGAAGCCAGCTTGATAACAAATCCCTGACTCAAAAATCTGCCGTGAGCACCCTCTACCTACACTTGCTATCTATCTGTGCTCTAAGGCATCCTTTTCTCCTATCCTTATACCTACAACCTGTATAACACATCTGTAATGAAGTCTACAACAACAAATCCCCACATCAGGACTTGGTGGTGCACATCTGAGATCCCAGCACCCAGGTGGTAGAGGCAGGGGGATCAGGAGTTTAAGGTCATCCTTGGCTACACATTGAATTCAAGGCCAGCATGTGCCCGTGAGACTCTCTCAATAAATAAGTGAATAAAGAAAGAAGTAAAGGGCCAGCAAGAAGCCTCACCAGTAAAGGCACTTGCAGCCAAGTCTCCCTGCCTGGGTTTGATCCCCGGAACCCACACGGTGGGAGAAGAGAACTGACTGAACTGACTGCTAAGTTGTCCTCTGACCTCCAAAATGCAGCGTGCCGTTTGCACGCACGTCCATACAAACAGGTGAAAGGTGGACAGATGATAGATGTATTTCCAAAAATCAGTAAAGATGGCAAAGAGGACAAAAGTCAGGCAGTTTGGGGCATGGCGGTGAGGTGGGAGAGGGCAGGAGTCACTGTGCCCTCATACCATGTTTCCAGAATATTTAGACCCAGCCTCAGATCCTTCCAGGGTGTCATTTCCCAGCAGCCCCACAGCATCCCAAGTTTCCTGCCCCTGGCCTGCAGCTGAAGATCATGGCCACCTCACTTCTGACTGAACCTCCAGCAGCCTTCAGGCCTACGCCTGGTTGTGCTGGCCAGCTGTGTATGTTGGAAGAGGCTGTCTCCCTAGGGACACTACCTTGTCAATTCCTCTGACAACCAGGCACTTCATGTCATTCCTGGTGGCTGGTAATTGACATCTTGGCCAGCACTATTAACCCTAGAGGACTTGATCTCATACATACATCCCAAGCTCCGACAGGATGGTGCCCTGTCCATCAGGGCCCACGGAGGGGTAAGCAGGGCAGGCATGAGGTAACCTTTAACCTGGACACTTTTCTAGCCGGTCTGCTAGCCTCAGGCCCACTGATAAAGACTAAGGGTCTATGACTCTTTACACTGAGCCTCCTGCCTCAGGTAAACTCAGGAGACCCGGAGAAGACCAGTCATTGCTAAGCGTTACCTGCCATCATTCCATACCGCTGGGTCACCTGAGATCCTGTCTCAGAGACAAAACAAATATTCAAAACGACAGATTGATTCCAGTGTGAGGACAGATGTCTGTGGCCCTTAGCCCCAGCCTAGTTCTGTTATTATGTCCATTTCCCATACCTACCACAGGAGTGATCTACCCCCAGATAGACTCAGGGTGAGGACCCCCAGCACGGCACAGTACCATACGGTCTCAATGGGACTGATGTGTTGTCCTCGAACAACTTGCAAAGCAGGTAGCCGACCTGGTACCCCGCCACTGACCATCCCCATCTGTGCCCACAGCACCTTCGCCTGTCTCTGAATGGTCATGGCCAGTGCCATGTCCAGCATTTGTGGTTCCGGTCTGTGTTTGACATGCTTCGACACTTCCACACCCACCCCATACCCCTGGAGTCAGGGGGATCTGCTGATATCACCCTAAGAAGCTATGTGCGTGCCCAAGGCCCGCCTCCTGGTAAGATGCCACCATCTGGAGTTTGGTATATGACTTATACATAGAAGGTTTGCCTAGTATGCTCGAGGCCTGGGTTTGATCCCCAGCACCTCATAAACTGGATGTGGTGGTGCACTCCTGTAATCTCAGCCCTCTGGAGGTGAAGGCAGGAGGATCAGGAGTTCAAGACCATCCTCCGCATCACGGTGATTTAAAGGCCACGGTATATGTTAGACCCAGACTCAAAACCCTTCACCTGGACACACAGACAACTGGGGTGGGTTCCAGAAGCCCTGTAAGGTTACAGTTCAGCACCCAGCTTTTGAGGGTTGCACTGGTGGGCTGCCTAGCTTAGGCTAGAAAGATATGTGTGCTTGCATGCTATCTCCTGGGTTCCCCACATCTGTTTGACCTGCCTGGCTTTGGAGGATGAAGTTCAGGTGCCCAGGGTTAAATGCTGACCAACATAGCCTCTCATTACAGACCCAGGACCAGCGCCCAGCACGGTGGCCCCAGTCCCCTCCTGCTGGACCGAGCCGGCTGGCCAGCACTACTTCTCCAGCCTGGCCACGGCCACCTGCCCACCCACCTCACCTTCCAATGGCGCCGGAGCATCGACGTCATCTGGCTCATCATCCTCGGCCACATCTATGCCCCCACGCCTACCCGAGGTTCCACTCAGTGCACGCAGCCGCAGCAATAGCGCAGAGCACCTGCTGGAGGCTGCATCCGGAGCCACCGAAGAGCCCACGGAGGCCACGCTGGGCCGTGCTCGCGCAGTGGAGAACCAGTACTCCTTTTACTAGCAACCACGCCCATTACCCGCTGGTGCCATGCACATCACAGCAGGCCAAGAATACCTGTGGACTGTCCCGCCCACCAACAGCCTGGACAGCCCGTGATGGTCAGCAACTCCTAACAGTGGCTGGACACAACTATCCATGGTCTATCAAGCCTAAGACAGCTGGCCAGCTAGCCACACCTAGAGACTTCAGCCCCCAGGGGCCCGCTAAGACCATCTACAGCAGGCCAAGGCTGTCCATGGTCGACTTCAAGCTCCTCCTACTGGTGGTTGGCTACGCCCACCACAGATGTGGCTATAAGGCTGATCAAATACACCTCAGGCAGCTCACTGACAGTTAACCGCATTTGGTGACTTCAGGCCTTGCCCACTGATGGTGGTCACTCCCACAGTGACAACCATTGACAGCCCGCCTCACCCACGAAGGCCTACTTACTGATTCCTAACAACCTCAAGCCCAGCCCACCGGAGTTGGGCCACTTGCAGCAACAGCCTGACTGGTCTGTGATGGTCGGCCACTCCCATCAAGCCAGGCCTGCCGGTGGTTCCCCAGCCTTGGGCAGCCTGCCATGCCAACCAGCTCCAGCCCAATGCTGGGGTGGGAAAGCCAAGCTCTTCAGTGAAGACAAACATTATTAAAGAGCCTGTTTTAGGGACTACACCCTGTTCTCCTGTTGTCTCTTTGCTGTGCTAGCATCACGGGAAAGGGAATGGTCTCTCAAGGTCTGGGGTTGCCCCTCAGCCACAGGCTTGCTCAGGCAGATCTCAGGAAAAGGATCTTGGATAAAGAGCAGGGCTCGGGGTCCGCTGAGGGCAGGGCATGAACTGGAGAGGGGGCTTAAGTGGAACTGGGAGAGAAAGAGGTAATTTGAAGAATGAAACCGCTGCTGGAGATGAGGCGCAGTGGGTAGAGATGCGCAGGCGCAGATGTGCCTGGCATACAGGGCTTCCCGGGTTCCGTCCCCGGCATCCTATAAACGGGATATGGTAGCTCATGCCTGCAATGCCAGAACTTCCAAGGTGGAAGTAGGAGGATCAGAAGTTCAAGGCCATCCTCAGCTAACTAGCAAACTTGAGGCCGGCCTAAGCTACATGAGTCGCTGTCTCAAACGCAGGGAGAGGAGAGGAGACACCCACAGTAGCAGCGATGGATGACGTGAATGCCAAGGTGAGGAGTTGAGTGGTGAGAAGTTGGGTCCTGGTTAAGACGTAAGGATGTCACTGGACAAGTCCACAAAGGCCTTCCGGGGGTGGACTGGGTGCTGGGACAGGAATTCCCCACCCCAGACTGTTGAGGGGATTATGCAATAGGAGACACTGGGTGTCCCGGCTCTGATGCAGATGACTGAGAAAAGACCTAGAGTGACCTCCAGGGTGTACCTGCAAGCAGAGCCACAGATGACAGCCCCCAGCTTGCTCACATAGCCACCTGTGAGAAAGTCCCATGCCCTACAGAGCCAAGGCTTATCTCTCCTCCAGCCAGACCCACAGATCTCAAACAGCGAAAGACTCCAGAGTGGTAGCTGCTTCCCCATAAGGGGTGCATGAGGGGTTGCCCCAAGGGTTTTGCTGGTGCAGCTTCCAGGAAATGACAGTGCACACTACTAAGCACAGACGAGGGGTAATGCAAGCACAGTGCTGAGTCAGCTTTCAGTGCCTCCATTTGGTTGTGGCTGGAGGCCGGGAGTGCCAATTGTAAGTCTCCATCTTCCTTAAGAGAAGATAGGGTCTGGAGCAAATGTATGGAGAACTGTCATCTTTTCAGAACCGGGTCCAAGAATACAAGAGAATGAGAGAGGGCACCTGCTTTAAAGATAGCAGTGTAGGGCTCTAGGGATATAGTTCAGTGGTGGAGCACCTGCCTAGAATCCCCCAGTGAGGGGCTGGGTGTGGCCCGGCGGTAGAGCACCTGCCTAAAATCCCCCAGTGAGGGGCTGGGGTGTGGTTCAGTGGTGGAGCACCTGCCTAGAATCCCCCAGTGAGGGGCTGGGGTGTGGTTCGGTGGTGGAGCACCTGCCTAGAATCCCCCAGTGAGGGGCTGGGTGTGGCTCGGTGGTAGAGCACCTGCCTAGAATCCCCCAGTGAGGGGCTGGTGTGGGGCTCAGTAGGACACTACCATGTACCCCAGCCCTGCAGAAAGAAGAGAATGATAAGAGGACAAGCTACGCCCTTTTTCCTGTGGCCTTTTTTAAATTTAAGTGTATGTGGAGGAGGTATGTTCATATGTGCAGGAAGATGGCATCAAATCCTCTATGCTGGAAACTGAACTCGGGTCTACCTCAAGAGTTGGAAGCTCGCTCTCTCTCTCTCTCTCTCTCTCTCTCTCTCTCTCTCTCTCTCTCCATCTCTGCAGCTCCCTGTGATGTTCTTGGATTAAATGGGATCCAGGAGGTCACATGTAGAAGATAATAAGATGTTTCTTGGCTCTCCCAAAATTCACAACAGGAATAGTACAAGCAGTAAAGAACTCAAATGTAGTGTGATACCAAGGCAAGACAGACCCTCATGCCTGTCACTCACGGTGCTGCTTTCTGGGACCACAGTGGTGGCACAGCTGGCAGTAGCATCTCTAAGGTGTCCTCGTTTGTCCCTCAATGAGCATTTCAGATCCTGGCTGTGTGCCAGGCAAGGCTCATGGGACAACCGGGCAGACAGCCAGACCAAGTCATTGCAGTGTGGTGGTCAACCGCAGAGGGCTAGGCTGAGCCCTGGGACCACATGTGCCCTGCCTAATGGTACTGGGCCTGGGAGGTGGGGGCTGCAAGTTCAAGGGGCAGCAGGTGGAGCGGGCCCTGAATGCCAGCCCAGAGAGTTTGTTTTGAAAAAGAAGGCAGTCAGTGTGTCTGTGCCAATTAGAAATGAGAGCTGATGTCTAGGGATGTAGTTCAGTTGGTAGAGGGCTTTGTCTACCACACAGGAAGCCTTGACTTCCACTCACAGCACCATGTACATTGGATGTGGTGGCAAATGCCTATAATCTTAGCACTTGGAACTGGAGGCAGGAAGATGAGAAGTTCAGGGTTAGCCTTAGCTACATAGTGAGTTTGAGGCCAGCCTGGGCTACCTTAAATATAATGCAGAAAGGAGAGAGAGAGAGAGAGAGAAAGAGAGAGAGAGGATAAGAATCAAGCATGTATATAATTGGAACGCTCAGGAGTAAAAACAAGATCACAGGTTCAAGGCCAGCCTGGACTACTTACCTAGATGCTATCTCAAAAAGAGGTTGCTTGAGAGATGCCAAGTGCTGAAGAGCACTAATTGCCTCCCCAGAGGATCCAGGCTTGATTCCCAGCACCTCCCCCCCCCCACACACACACACTGTGGCTCACAACCCTGTTGTCATTACAGTTACAGAGGGTCTGGAGCCCTCTTCTGGCCTCCTCGGGCACTGCATGCACACGGTACAGACATACATGCCGGCAAAATACACATAAAAATAAACATTTTTAACACACACACACAGAGACACAGACAGACAGAGAGAGAGAGAGAGAGAGAGAGAGAGAGAGAGAGAGAGAGAGAGAGAGAGGAGCTCTATCGGTGACACAGGCCTGAGATCCCAACACTTGCTTAGGGGGTGGAGACAAAAGGATCAGAGGTTCAAAGTCATCCTTGGCCACACAGCAATTGGAGAGCAACCTGTGACACAGGAGACCCTAAATCAAACAAAGAGACCTGTCTCCTGCAAAAAAAAAAAGAAAAAAAAAAGAAAAAAAGAAAAAAAAGAAACACAAATGACCGAGAACTATCTTTGTTTGTTTGTTTTCAAGACAGGGGTTCTCTATGTGTAGCCCTGGCTGTCCTGGAACTCACCCTGTAAATCAGGCTGACCTCACACCACCGCCTGGCCCAATAACTGTTTTTAAATGCAAATTCAAACTGGTTTGAGATACTACCTCACTCCAATCAGAATAGCTGTCATCAAAAATCTGACAACAAATGTTAGAGAGAATATGGAGAGGAACCCTTACTCTCTGCTGGTGAGGGTGCAAATTAATACAGCCATGTGGAAATCAGTTTGGAGATGCCTCAAAAAATTAAAAATGGAAATACCATCTGACCTAGCTATTTGACTCTTGGGCACGTCCCCAGAGAACCCCAGAACCTACGGAGACGCCTGCAACCCCACGGCCACCACTGCTCTGTTCACTGTCGCAAACAACTGGAACCAGCTAGCTGTCCATTACGGAGACTAGAGAATGACAACCCGATGCACACATAAGCTAGGAATACTGTTATCTCTAAAGGAAAATGGGTGGATTTAGAATGAACCCAAGAACAGAAAGAAAACAAAACATGCATGTCCTCCCTCACACATGGATCCTAGCCTGTAATGGATCCATGTGAACAAGGACATGTGTGAGTAGAGTAATGACACATGGCTAGGACAGCAAGAGGATGGTATCTGGTAGTAAAGTGGGTAGGCTACAGGGGGAGGACTCATGGGCCATGAAAGAGGGCAGAAAGTGAATTGCTCTTCTGGTTTTAACTGTCACAGATTTTTTGTTTTGTTTTGTGTGTGTGCTGGATAAAGGCATTAAGTGTAATTAATGGTGAAGGTGTCCAGTGTGAAACTCCCTGGCTTCAGAACAGCTCTTTGGTTTTATTTTGAAGCAGAGACTCACTGTAGTTCTGGCTGGCCTGGAACTCACAGAGATCCACCTGCCTCTGCCTCCATGCTCTGGTGAGAGCCACTCTGCTCAGAGCAGAATGTCTGTTGATGCGGTGTGTTGACTTTGGGTCTGGGCCAGAGCCTGTTTGGGTGGCCATGTTAATCAAGCTGCATGATATTTTTTATTTGCAAGTTATTTACAATAACGTGATCCTTATACATAAAAAAAAAGGAAAAAGAAAATTGGTGAGAGATTATGAGGCTCTCGGGAAGGCAGTTATTGCTTAATGGTTCCTGGGCTTCTGCCTGGGGTGGTGAAAGGGTTTTGAAATGGCCAGGGGGACTGTTACACAACATCATGAATGTCATTAATGTCACTGGCTGTACTGTCCACTGTGTCTCTGGGGACATGTGCCTAGACCCCTGCTAGATCCTGAGCCTTGATATAGCACATATTTTCTATACATACTTATGTACACATGATAAAGTTTAACTTACAAATCATGAGTAATGAGGGCTGACAAAATGGTTCAGTGCGTAAAGGTGCTTGCTGCCAAACCCAATGACCTGAGTTCTATCCCCGGGACCCACATGGTGGAAGGGGAGAATTGACTCCTGTTATCCTCTGTCCTTTACAGGTTTTCTGTGGCATAAGGGCACCACCCTTCACTCGCACACAGAGGCACACAAACTAAATAAATTTAATAGAAATTTGATTAGATATAGTGAAAGATTAGCAGTAATTAATAATAAAATAGAAAAATAGTATATGGTTATAATAAAAGTTATTCTTGCCGGGTGGTGGTGGGGTGTGCCTTTAATCCCAGCACTCCGGAGGCAGAGGCAGATGGATATCTGTGAGTTTGAGGCCAGCATGGTGTACAGAGCTCCAAAGCTACACAGAGAAATCCTGTCTCGAAAACCCAAAAAAAAAAAAAAAAAAAAAAAAGTTATTCTCTCTCTCTCTCTCTCTCTCTCTCTTTCTCTCTCTCTCTCTCTCTCTGAGACCAGGTTGGCCTTGAACTCAGAGATTCACCTGCCTCTGCCTT